GCCAGATTATACACTGGAGAAAAGACAGTCTCTTCAATAAGTGGTGCTGGAAAAACTGGACAGCTACATGTAAAAGAATGAAATTAGAACATTCTCTAACACTATTTACAAAAATAAACTCAAAGTGGATTAAAGACCTAAATGTAAGACCAGATATTATAAAACTCAGAGAGAAACATAGGCAAGAACACTCTTTGACATAAATTGCAGCAATATCTTTCTGAGCTTCTTTTAATATAGCATGTGACTTGCATCCTAGAATACTGGGAACTACCTGTAGACACCAGAGCACACAGATTATGGCTTCAGGCTAGTGTCTGCCTCATTGCTATATTCTTCTCTCTGGTGATGAGACTAAACATCCCTCCTCTGAGGAAAGCACCACACCAGCCCGCCTTTCCTCTCCTCAGAGACGTCACACTGCTTTTGCCCTGGTCCCTCAGCTCCAGGAGCCACCCTGGCAAACCCAGGCACTAAGCTTTCGTTCTGAACCTGCTCTTGCTAGGATACCCAGGGCTTCTGAGTTCTCCCCCCAAATCCTTCACACGTCAACCCATTCTGCAGCCAAAGTGCTTCTCTCTTTCTCCCTGCTCTGGAAGTCCACAAGTCCTAGAGGTATTTTGAGACAATCTTAAGAACCTGGCACCCCTATTCTTTGCCCAGTTCCTTCAAGTTCCCTTTTCATCCAGAGAGTCTTAGATAAGTCAGTTCATGGGCAGAACAGAATTTGATTTACACTAGTACAATGACTACAGCCACTGCCACTTTTTGAGTCATAAAAGGACCACCTCTCTATACGTCATGTTTGCACTTCCTCATACTGAATCTTGTTTCTCTGGTTCTTCTTCTTCTTCCTCTTCCTCACCCTCCCCTTCCCCCTTTCCTCCTCCTCTTCCCCTCTTCCCCTTTTCCTTCTTTTGGTAAGATTCCCTTACCATAGTTACATAAAAAATTTAACTCTCATGACTGTCAAAGCCGGATCCTCTGTTTCCGTATCTAATTTTACTACTGAAAGAAGCAACAGGATCTCGTGCAAAGAGTACTGGACAAGGAATGTCAGAAGTCATCACCTATGTACCCTTGGGAAGGCCTACCCTCTTTCAGAAGTCTCAGCTCCATGCATTTTAATGTTCACTTTAGAGCTGTTTGTAAAATTCTCTTCGCGTCAGAAAACTCTTCTGTAATGGCATTATCATTATGAAGTTAATTATAAGATTAATAACTATTAGATAAATACTTTAACATATCAGTCAACACTAGGTCCTGAGGCCCGTCATTTAATAGAAGAGACACATTGGGGCTATATATTAGGACTTGTGCAGATCAGAGAAAACTGAGAACAAAAAATAATCGTTACATCTAATAGGACTATCAGACCCACTGGTTTTCAGATTGAGGGAAGTTACAGAGGTGACTGAACTTAACATACAGCAAATGATACAAGTTAGCCCACAGAACACAGAATATTTCAATATGAAAAGAGACTTTCTTGAAGACCTTTAAAGAAAAGGCATGTTCTCATTTATCTGTGAGACTCCTGAGCGAAAGAGGGCAGAACAGATCACGTGATACACTTTCCCAGCTCTGTGATTTTGTGATGCATGAGGCCTGCCTCTGTGTGTGTGTGTGTGTGTGTGTGTGTGTGTGTGTATACATATGCACATACATACAGATATAGAATCTGCCACTCATCCCTGCTCAATATTTGAGAAACAATGTGTCATGGCTGACTGGAAACATGGAGAATGAAGCCTTCTTTCTCCTCTGCCTCTTAACAGCATCGCTGATGACCACTTTTCAATTTTAAGTCCTTTGAAATGAGTACAGTATAGTTTAAAATACATTTGTGCTTTTACTTATTTTTAAGGGGAAAAAATCCCTTAATTTGGTTCTCTAAGGAAGGATCTAGTTTGTTTGCAAGAACACACTAAATTTAAACCGAATTGGCCTCAGCTTTTTCTACTTCACCTCCGAGGCTGACCTCTGGGCACATGGTGCAGCGGGGTGCCGGCCAGGGCGGATTCTGTTTTCACCGACAAGCCTCTGTAAACATCTGATTGGCTTCAGAGCCAAAGGACGGATTTAATTCCTTCAGCTTAAAAAATATATTGTTTCCAAACATCTCTGGGCTTTCATACTTCATTTAAAAATAATTTTTAGCATCTCCAAAGAGAAGGAAAAACAGTCTTCTAGAAGTCTATTCTCCACTTTATTCCAACATGTTCATACAGTACCCTTAAAAAAAACAACTCTTTCCACATATTCATCTATTCTCAGTACATTTTTAGAAAACAAGTTGGAAAAACTCGGCAATCTCTAATTAACAGGTAAAATCAATTGGTTTTATGTCATTTCCTAGACTTTTTTCATTAATCTGCAGTAATCCTCGGCACACAAAAGTTATTTCCAGCTGCCACCCACGTGCCTTGGCTCCCAACTACCAAGGCAGATAAGAAACTGCACCGTGCCTGTGTTAGCCTGCTAAGAACTAAGTGGTCGTCTACTGCAACACCCCCAAAATTTTTAAGACTGTTGGAAATACGTATCATGCTACATTAAATCCAAGTCCTCGGTAATGCTAAGGGTTTCAACCAAGAAATGAGGCTTGGTGATTTGAAGGCAGCCACGAAGTTGGTTAGTACAAGCAAATGATCCCCAACCTAACAACCAAACCAAACCACAAACCAGCATCTATCTCTTTCTCCTACAAAAACTTGGAGCATATTCCTCCCAGCCTGGGTAAGGGGCCATCCCCTTCATTAATAACAAGGAAAAAACTGATACGAAGAATTAAAAGATTCATTAAGAGCTTTGTGGTCTGAGCACATAAATAGTTTAAATACCTTTTGAAAACTGACAATGGAAGAAGATAGTCTTCATGAACTAAATATTCCATTTCCCTCTTTGTGTTTAGAGCAGTTACAATTTTAGCCAATGTCCCCAAAAGGTATATTTATGTTCGATGTGAGACCTCTGCCCTCCAGCTCAGTTTGCTTCTCCTCCTCTAGCCCTGCTGTCGACCTTCTCTCTATTGGACTGTGGGCTGCTCTGTGCATTCGTCAGGGTCAAGATGATGTCACTCTGAGAAGAGAGGAAAGGGCCCTCCCAAGTGCCTGGGAGGGGACTGCTTCTTCTGGACGCCCTACCTGCTACCCGAATCCACAGCCACCTCTGGTTTTCAGGTTATGCCAGCCAAAGTCTTCCATGATTCCAGCACGTTCAAGTATAAGGGATTAACCATGATCAAAAAGTATAAAATCAAACAAGAGCTTATACCTCCTCCAAAACCCACACCCTAGTTAACTATTTCCCGTATTCTGGCATGTGAGGGTATCAGGCAAGATGAGAGCAAAACTGAACAGAAGCCATGGACCTTCTTCTACATAACATAGCCTGGGCTTCTGAGTGCCCGCCCTGGGGTTTAGACCTGTGAACAGCAAAGTCGTCTCTCCATAATTATTGTCCCATGGTCCGAGATGCTACCTAAGCCCTTGCTGGAGCCTGTCAGCCCAGGGCATGTTTATTTTATAGCTAGTGAGGAGGAGATCTGTAATAAAAGGAAGCCCAGTCGGTCACAGGATGTTAATTCAGGGTGGACCTATTTCTTTATTGAACAAATATCCTGGAAGAGAAGGGCCTGGCTTGCCTCTTGCGAACCTCTGCGTTCATGCTACACCGAGCGTTAACCCTCATACAAGCTCGCCCACTGCATACAAGAACTCCTAGATTTCCATATTTACAAAATCTCCTTCCCGGAAGAAATCAAACTGCACTTAAGTTCTTTAGATGATGAGGACGATGATGCAACTAAGAAGATGGTCTCATTTTTAATGGAAAAATGGGATTTGAGGAAATGACCACAGGTATGCAGCTTGCACTAAATACAGATCCGAAGTTGTCTTCACAAGGTCTCTGAATAGTTGATGACGGGCTGGTCGCAGTGTCCCCAAAGAGGCTCTTTGCCTTCCTGAACTTTAGACGGATCCCCTTTCTTTGCCCCAATCCTAGCAAGTGAAAGCTAACACCCCTAAAATAAACAGGGAAAATCAGCTCACGCTGTTGGTTTACCAAGCCTGAGCGAGCTGCTTTGATAATCTACTGGTGTCTCCCAGGATCTATTTTAACGATCTGCCAGAGGGGAACTAAGCAGTGATTAAAAGATAAGAACCTTCAAGATCTTCTGAGAGGGGAATTACAATGTAACAGATCGCTGGTTCCCCTTTACTTCCTGAGCCTCTGCAGTTGCTGGGCCCCTTCAGGGCAGGGTGAGCCGTGGTGGTCCGCTGCTAGATGGGGACACCAATGCAGTTCTGAACACCTGTGTCAGCCCTTTAAGACCTGCTACTTCTCAGCTGGGGCCCCTCTTGATCCTAACTGTGCCTCCGCTGGTTCTTCTGGCTGGGAGAGTCTGAATTCTCTAAATGCCAGGATGAACAGCAGAGATGTTAGTACCTTCAGAGATACTGAGAAAAAAGCAGGAAAAAGAGATACAGGTATCCAGAAAAAGTCCTTTAAACAGAGCTCATATGTCTTCTTTTGACTTGTGTTAGAACCAAAGCAAAGTCCTGCTGGAGAGTCAGAATCAGCTGAATTATCTGGGGGGAGGGGGGTTGGCACTAGCCACTTCCTCCATCACCCCCTCCCCACCCCCAGATTACAAAGTATTATGGTTGGAAACCTTCACAACTGACATGCTAAATTTGGCAACTCTGAGAGTGGTCTTTGTCCTCAGGTCCCTACACATCAAGTTTACCTCTCCAGATGTCCCCTGGGCGCATGCATTATTGATGGACCAGGGATCGCTCAAAAACAGAAGCGGGGGAGAGGAGAGAGGCAGACCCCAGCGCACACGCTCGGCACTTTATCTCAGGGGCCAGCTCCGTGGCTCAGGGGGCTACAGTGGTGCAAATACAAAATCATTCAAGAGGCACAATCCCCCCCGACTCCCTCACACGCACACGCACACCGAGACGCGGGCACACTCCGGAAAGCAGCATTACCTGCTCCTGCTGTTGCATGGATTTCCCCGAAGCATTTGGCTCCTTGGCTGTAGTCATGATTTCCTGTTCAGGGTGCACACAGGCACAGGGGCAGGTGCGATCTGCCCGGGAGTTTGGGGCCACCGGAGTCCACTGGGTGGGAGGATCGGGATTTAGTCCATGCTTCCCAAGTCACAGGGCTACTGGGGCAGGGTGGGGGAGGACCAGTGAGCAGAGCAGCCTAGTTTTCTTTTTAAATGCAAAGAGCAGAGAGCGGCTCCGAAAGGGGAGATGCTGCGGCTTAGCGGGGCTTCTCCTGTTAGCAACAGCCTCTGCAATCGCCACAGAAACAACGACAACTGCTTAGCAACCGGCAAGTGGCGGCGCGGTGCAGGAAGGGGACCCGAGTGATGCGCGCCGCTCCCACCCGCCTCCCGTGGCGCACGGCGCATGCTCGGGCCGTGGCCGCGGGGAGGGGAGGGGGCTGGGCAGGGGGCCCCGGCGGGAAGGGGGTGCCGGCGGGGGGAGGGGACCCCGGCGCGGCGCGGCCACTGGTCCGGGAGCTTGTCGCCAACCTGCCCAGGTGGCCGGAGTTGCCAGCGCTGCCGGCAGGTCCCACCGCGGCGGGGCCACGAAGGGGCCACACGCGAGATGCCTTGTTTTTCCCTCTGCCAAGCGCAGGGCCTTGGGGGAGGAAGGTGGCCTGTGGGCACCAGAGAATGGCTTCTTTTCTGTTTGCCCGGTGTGTGTGTGTGTGTGTGTGTGTGTTTTTTCTCCTGGATCGCTAGCTATGGAAATCTTGGCCTTTATTTTCCTTAAAATTCAGAAAACTTATTATGTTCCATCTTTTAACTCAAAGAATCCTCTGTTTCTCTGTGAAAATCAACCAGGACCTCAAGGGTGTCTGTTGCTTAAAAGAAGCAAAGGAAGAAAGAAGCCCATGGGGTGACCTTACAGGAACGCAAGGGCTCCCCGCGCCGAGTCCTGAGCTCAAGGAGGAAGCCGGGGCAGAGACAGCCGTCCTGCTCTCCCGGCCTGATGTCCTTGAGCTTGGCGCTGACCCTGGGCGGACCGAGCCGCTGGTGGAGGACAAACGCGCTAGGGGACTCTGGGCTTGATGAGCTAATAGCTTGCAGGTGGGGATACCTGGGCCTTCCAGAAACTGCAGCCAGCTCATGCCCGGGGGTCTTCTGCTGCCCCTGTGTGTGACGTGTCCTCTGTTAGTACTTGTCTCTCCCCTCCCTGCCTTAAGCCTCTGCCTCCACCAAAGGGCTTCTGGCCACAGACACTCACCGGCCCGGGGGAGCGTAGCCCTCACCCCACCCAGCCCTGACAAGCGCTCTCAGCAAGGAAGTCCTTCCCGAGACGCTGGTCTGTCTTGCCTTCGCCCCTGCGAAGCCAGTGCAGTTCCCTGTAGAGAGAAGGCGAGGTAGGTCTGTATCCAGTGGAAAGGTGTTTCATAGAAGACTTCCCTTTGTCCTGCCCCTTCCCTAGCCCCCTGGCCCCAGTCATTGGACAAGAACAGACACACACCGGCAAGATCCATGGCGCTGTGTCCTTCCCTAGAGTTGACAGTTGAGTCCAGATAGCGCAGAGATGCCTGCCCCTTCCACGACGGCCTGGGCACAGATACCGAAAGGTCAGGATGGGCAGCTGGAGCTTGCCTGGTTTGGCCGAGCGTACGAAAAGGAAAACCCCGTGTAAGAGCCTTGTCCCACAGTCAGGCTTTGCTTTGTGTTGTGTTTGCCTTTGACTTAGACGACCCTGCGGGACGGGGAGTTTCCGGGATGGGAACAGCAGTGGCGTGGATCCCTGTGTTTGTGGCTTGATCCCAGGGTGTCTGGAACATAGGTTATCACCAGTGTGGGCTGGAGGGAGTGTGCCAGGCCACACAAGCCCTCAGGGGAGTCGTTGCCCAATTACGGGTTTCTAAGGAGGGAAAGCTGGGGTCACTGCGGTGTGAGGTCCCCAAGCGAACCTGACATCGAGGCCCCAGCAGCAAAGACTCAGAAAGGAGACCTGGGCAGTGAGGTGAGCAGCCACCCTCCCCTCGCACACCTGGACCACAGCAGCCCCCGGGGGGACCTCGGTGATGGGTGAGACCAGCAGCCCTTGCCGCAAAATGGTTCATTGCTGAGCATCTCAGAGCTGGTCTGTCCTCCAGAGTTTCCTCTTAAATCAAAACCCCTGGGGTGGGTCAAATCTTAAACCACCATCTGTTGACATCTCCAAAAGCATCCACCGCTAACTTGTGGGGGCCATGAACGCCACCCAGGACCGATATCCAAGGACAGGGACACCAACGGGGGGCAGGGAGAAGCAAAAGGAGCCAGGACCTGCCTCCTCTTCACGGTTTCCAGAGCCCTGGGTCTAACCCAGGGTGCTCAGCTGTGTCTGGTGGGGACTGACATGAAACCCTTCGGGCACTTCTATTTTATTTCTCAATAACGACCTTAAATGTTATTTTACATCTAAAGTGAATATGGATGTAATGCAAAGTTCACGCACATTTGTAAGATTATACCTGATACTTCAATGAAGTCTCCTGCTGGCATCAGATCACTTGGGCACTTGCCCTACCAGCCCCTCCCCCACCCACCCCCACCCCTCCTTCAGCTACTCTCTCTTCAAGAGCCACTGGGTGGTGCAGCTTGCAAATGGCTGGTGGATGGACAGGCCAGGTGGTGCCACTCGGAACCTCTCCATGGGCTTTTCTGGCACCAGGTGTCCAGAGGCCAACTTTTCTGCCTACTTTGACCGCTTTTCAAAGATAAAGGGCAGGACTTCCTAATAAGCCACAGACAACACAGATGAACTTGAAGGACCTTCTGCTGAGTGACGTGTGCCAGTAACAGAAGGACAAATACTGCATGATTCCACTTATACAGAGGAATCTAAAATCGTCAGACTTATAGAAGCAGAGAGTAGAATGGTTCTGCCAGGGGCTGGGGGGCGAGGGAAGCAGGGCGTGGCTATTCAACGTGGATAAACGTTCCATTCTGCCAGATGACATAGTTCTAGAGCTGCTGTAAACATCACAACTCTAGTGAACAATGCCGCATTGTACACTTAAAAGTCTGTTACCTGAAATGAGCCACAGGAAAACAAATACCGTATCATTTCAGTCAAGTGTGGAGGATAGCGGACAATCAAAAATAAATCAACAAACCAAAAACAAAAACATAGATGCCGAGAACGGAGTAGCGGTTACCAGAGGGGAAGGGGGAGGGGCAAAACGGATGGGAGCTAAATTTCTGGTGGTGAGCATACTGCAGGGGACACAGAAGTCAAGTCGAAATACGTCGTACACATGAAACGTATCGTGTTATACACCCGCGTTACCTCAATAAAAAACAAATCTATCGGGATTAACAGATACACACTACTATATATAAAATAGATAACCGACAAGGACCTACTGTATAACACAGGAGGGATTATAGATCCCTGTATAACACAGGGATCTATACTCAATCTTTTGTAATAACCTATAAGGGAAAAGAATCTGAAAAATATATATATATGTATGTATAATTGAATCACTGCTGTACACTTGAAACTAACACATTGTAAATCAACTGTACTCCCACTAAAACAACAACAACGACACAAATAAATCTAAAGAACAATCTGTTAAGAGGCTAGATCCCTAAGAGGGAGAAAGGGCTGCCTTTTTTCCATGTTCTAAAATTAATCAGTATCCCCCTAGGAGAAAAACACCCCGCCCAAGTTTATCCTTTCAGCTGAAGTGTGTCCTGCACCCTTCTCTCCGAGCCTCAGTGAACATTCAGTTGATAGCATCCATCCTTAGCAAAGGGAGAAAGTCAACGCTTAGCTACTTCATAATAATGACAGTAACAGTGGCTGCCTGGTGCTGCCCTGTGCTACGCACCCAAGCCCAGCATCTCTGTGAGGCAGGCCCTGCGATTCCCCCATTTTACAAAAGAAAAGTGACACTTAGAGAATTTATGAAACCCATGGTTACCCAACAAGTAAGTGGCCAACCTAAACCTGGGCGTGCAGGCCAGGGGCCACCATACCACACTGCCCTGAAATGCATGCAAAGTAGAATATTGAAAATACTGAGCTAGTCTGTGCCAGGAAGGATGCTGAGCATTTGATACCTATAATCTTAATTGATCCTTCAAAATCTCTTAGATACCCATGGCATTAGTTCGCTAGGGCCGCCACAACAAAGTACCACTAGAAGTCCAAGGTCAAAGTGTTGGCCTCTCTCTCTGGTCTGCAGATGGTGGTCCCTCTGTGTGTGTGTCTGTCCTGATGTTCTCTTCTCTTCACAAGGACACCAGTCCTATGGGATTAGGGGCCACCCAGTGGTCTCATTTTACCTTAATCACCTTTTAAAAGATCCTGTCTCCAAATACAGTCACGTTCTGAGGTCCTGGGGGTTACGACTTCAAGTTATAAAGGTGGGGGGGGGGCACAATTCATCCCCTAACACCTATTGTTACCCCATTTCACTGATGAGGAAACTGAGGCTTGAAACAATTAAGCAGCTCTTCCAGAGTCACACAGTCAGTAGTAAATGGCAGAGTTACTCAAAACAAGAGTAAGGCTCCCAAACATCCCAGCATCTTCAAAGCGGCAGGCAGCTAAAGTGGTCTCACTAAGGCCTCACTGTGGGCGAGCCCCTCGTGTGGCTCTAGGGAGGATCTGGAGAGCAGTATGGACCTAGCCCTTCCCAGGTGAGTGTTCCCTGTACCAAGGGGGCAGGGAGAAGCCGCACAAGTGGGGCGTCTTCATTCTGCAGCTGAGCACCTTCCCGGAGCACCGAGCAGGGGCTACCCTGACACCTGCTTCTCAGCCCCGCCAGCTCTTCACTGCACTTGCTGGACACAGGCAGCTGAGCCTGGCAGAGCGTGGCAGCCTGCCTGCCAAGGAGGCTGCCACCAAATGCTCACCCTGCCATGTATCCACCTCCCATTCGAACTGGCCCCATTGCCCGGTGCCACGAGAAACATCTCAGAGCCTGCAGTCAGTCTCCCTGCGTGGACCCAAAGCACAGCAGTCCTGAGCAGGTGCACCTGGATGGAGGCTTGTTCACGTGAGCGCGATTCAGCCTTCAGCCTTCTCTCCCACCCAGGTGTGTCCAAGATGGGCGGCTGGCACAGGCTCAGCTAGTTAGGTTTGTTTGTGGATGTGCAAGCCTGGGTCCCGCTGCAGCTCCAGGCCATTTCTCACTCCTCTGATTTCCGTTCACCTTGCCCAGAGTAACCAATCAGCTAAAACAGCTTTGCTTCACGACTCGCTCCATCAGCAGGTCTTTATCAAGCACCTACTATGTGCAGATAGCAAAACTGCCAAGAGACAGACACGCTGGCTGCCTCGTTGCTGTAAGGTAGGGATGAAAATGTCCTTAGAGTAGGATCCCTGAAGATTTAAAAAATTTTTTTAGCATTAACCATCTGAAGAGAAGCCACTTATAACTTATAGTTCCCTGAAAATAAAAGCGAATATGGGCAGAAAGGTAAGGTTCCCTGGAGAGTTCAACCAGGACCTGAAGAAGCAAGTTTAGAAAAACAGCTTATATAGATACATACTGAAAATCACCAAGGGGGAGGAAAAGTGGATAAGTTTCCTGAAGACTGGGTTTCTCTAGAGAAACAGAACCAACAGGATGTGTGCATGCGTGTGTGTGTGCATGCGTGCGTGCGTGTGCGTGTGTGTGCGTGTGTGTGTGTGTAGCGAGAGAGAGATTGAGTATTTTAAGGAATTTAAGGAATTGGCTCATTTGATTGCAGGGGCTTGCAAATATGAAAGCTGCAGGGTAGGGCCACGTAGGCTAGAAGGCTGGAAACCCAGGAAAAAGGCCGTCTGGAGGCAGAATTCCCTCTTCCTCCAAGGAGGTTGGTCTTTTTTCTCTTAAAGCCTTCAACTGATTGGACAAAGCCCACCCATATTGTGGAGGGTACTCTGTTTCACTCAGGAGTCTACTGGTTTAAATGTTAATCACATTAAAAAACCCCAATCCTCCACAGCAACATCTAGTTTGACCAAAAGCTGGGTACCATGGCCTAGCCACACTGACACAAACTCAACTACGACAGGCTATGAGTGGAAGTGACTGGTAAAGCATCTGACAGGGTGAATATTCTTAATTTACTATTCTTCTCCTCCCCCTTTTTCCCATCTATCTTCCTGGGATGCTTGCTGCAATCTTTATTTATTTATTTATTTTCGGTACGCAGGCCTCTCACTGTTGTGGCCTCTCCCCTTGCGGAGCACAGGCTCCGGACGTGCAGGCTCAGCGTCCATGGCTCACGGGCCCAGCCGCTCCGCGGCACGTGGGATCCTCCCGGACCGGGGCGTGAACCCGTGTCCCCTGCATCGGCAGGCGGACTCTCAACCACTGCTCCACCAGGGAAGCCTTCCCATCACACTTTTTATGTCCCACACTTGTGTGAAGTCTTGTTCCATCACAGCTCCACCGTCCACTTCCCTTCCTGGTTTCCTAGCCCCATTGTGGGTTTCTCCAGGGCAAGGGCAAGGTAAAAGGAAGAGCTGCATATCAGTTAAAGGAATGAGCTTTAACGTCAGAATCATTTATTTGCAAACCCCAGGTCTGCTCACTTGCTGTCTGTGTACAAGCCACTGAGTCCAGGTTTCAGCTGTTTAATGCACACAACAGTGGGTGGCTTATAGAGTATGGTCAGAACTAAATTAGGTCAACTCTGTAAACCAGTGGACACAGAGGAGGGGCTAAATCAGCAGCTCTTCTCATTGCTGGACTCAGGTCACCTTAAGGACATGTCTTCTTCTTTGTATCCTCAGTGCTTAGCACACAGGAAACAACAGAAAAGTGGGTGTGTTAGGGAGAGAACTTTGGGAAAACTTGAGTGTCACCTCCACTGAAATTCAGAGGACAAGAGTGTTTCTTCACATGAGCACCAGGAGAGGTCAGAACCAGATCATTCATTTTAGGCAGCTCGTTATCAGCAAAGACATTCAGACAGAATCACAACACAGAGTTCCTGTTTGAGCCTCATGGGGTAGTATGGCCACGGTTCACAGATCACTAAGAGACGGAAACGTGGATGTAGACCGCCCTGGGAGGATGGAACCGCATGCACAGGAGGAAATGTCAGGTGGAATGGCTGTCAAAGTGACGAGGTTGGAAGAAGAGGCTTCCCGAGAACTTGGCGCTCCATCCTGCCCTACCCGTTTCAGCATCCAGCCAGCGCACTTGTCCTCCCCACACACCCCCGACGAGAGCCACATGTCATTGAAACGAAGGGCTCCCCGGCTTAAAACACAGGATCCACCGAGTCCCTCACTACAGATGACCACCTTTCAAGAAGAAAGAATGAAAAGGGAAGAACAATGGCCACTGAAGAGAAAACAAAGTCTTACCTTTTAGAAATCAACGATGAAATACACGAGGAAGATATATTTCCCCGATTCATCAGACAAGCTTAAAAGGTTCTATGTGACTTATTACGTCTTTTTTAAAAGTCTCTTTTGCTGAAAATTAGAACTAAGCAGAAGTCCTTAAGAATTAGAGCCCAGCCTATCGAATAAGAATAAGATTATCTGCCATTGAGTATCGAC